GCTGAGTGTCAGAGTGCAAAGCCTCCTTTTACGTGTGGTCTACGTGGCATTTTAACGAAAATGGAACCCTAGTCATTCTTTCCTTAGCTTGATATATCTCTAGCTGAACCCAAGACGAGGATGGGATATCGAGCCCATACCCATCTCCAGCGCCTGGATTTTGGCTTACAATTGGTGCGCGATATTTGGGAGAGGAAGTCATTGTAGTGAATGCCGCACAAGCCTGAAAAGCAAAAAAACCAATCCACGTGCAAGTCGCCGACATTCCATCCGTTTTTAGGAGTGAACGGTAGACAGGGATGCTTGCGCCAGGAGCACTGCTATTTCTACGATCTGAGTGAAACTCATGAGTTCGAGGCTTTGCAGAAACGCAGGATATGACAGGAAGGGTTGAAGAAATAGAAGTGACAGGTAAAATGTGCGTTCGTATTCTCGCGTAAAGTTGGTTTGGAAAGGCCTGTTCAGTAGCATACTGTATTGTTTCTATTAACTTAAATAAAGATCTGGAAATACTAACCTGCCTGCCTACCTAACTGCTGAAAAAGGTATTGCGTTTTTCAGAAAGTGGAGATCGTGCACCTTAAAAGAGCAAATGGATATAGAGCGCGCTTTTAACTACAGTCAGCCAAACAGATCGGTGCACTAAATGGCTCAATACTGCAAACTGACTCCTGTTACTAATGCGAAGAAATTCCTGTATTTTGTGTGCAATGTGCACATCAGCAAATTATTAGAATTTTTAAATACACCAACCCCAGTATTATTATTACCATGTGGAAATGCAAATAAGGTTTTAGGCATAACACAGTGTTCCTTAAGGGATTGTAAACATGCAGTTAGCGATAATTCCCATACACTCCTATTAGAAGCTCTCTAACAATTTAAGTAGGGATAAGTACTTTAATTGGCAGCAAAATCCCAAGGTACTTCAGTCGTATCAGAATTCTGAAATATCCTTAGTGTTGGCCCCCTTCGAAAACCGCACTCGTTAACATTTTCTGCTTATACACTTTGCACCTTCCCACTGATACACCTAAAATTGAATGCCCTTTAAGAATATTATGCACAAAACTATTTAATCCTTTACGCCGTTACATACTTATTAAACTCTCTACACGAAAAAAGGATATATTTTCGTAGTTTAAAATTTTAATGCTACTTATATAATTTTGAAAACGACATTCCGTTTTAGTTTGCTATAAATCTTACAGTGAATAACTGTTTACTTCCTATTTCTGAAAAATCATATGCTTGCTGATACTAATAAGGAGATATCCTATGGGACTCAAAAGGTGTGTAAGGTATGTGATCGTTTCTGCATACGTATAAAAGAATATTAATGAACAAACAGCTACAAGGATTTCTTAAGGCAAATTGCAAGGTAATTAAGCAGATAATAATTATAACCCTTTTCAAGACCAAGAAATATTTTCTTGTTGAATAAAAACAGTGAGGTAAACATAGTTTACTACTAACTTAGTATAAAAAAGGTTGGACAAAATTCTTCATGAAATATATGTGAAGCTATAGGGGCATCAAAAATCAAGAGAATGGATCCTACTGCTTAGGGAAATATTGCTTTCCGATCGCTGCCCTTGCAGTCGGCTGA